AAAATAATTATAATTTATAATTTACCTATTAATGCTCTTTTCATCATATCATAAGTTGAATTCTAATGTGTTTTAATATCTGGAATTAATTGAAGACTTCTAATTTTTGAAGCAATATATTAATAATTAAGTTTTTTATGCCTTTGAGATAATGCACGAATTTTAACTACTAATTTTCTTAACTAAAATTATAATAAAATTATTAATAATTAGTATAAATTAAAATAATAAAAAATTAAATTTTATACCTTTTCAATTACTCCCATATTTTGATTGTTTTTTATATTTTCTAATATATTTCTTCCTTTTCTGATCCAACTCCTTTTAATATTAAAAGAACTTCTTGAGTAACTAAATTAATAATATAGGCTAAACATCATACTCATTGATCTTTAGAATTAAAAGTTATATTATCATTTAAAAAATAACTTTCTAAATGAGTGAATGCAATATCCATATTATATGTATTATTAAATGTAATGCTTAATATCTATTAAAAATATTATTTGCTAATTAAAATATATTTATTTTTTATTAATATAAATAAATTAAAAATGTATCTTTTGTAATATTCTTTTAAGATTTTATAAAATAACTATGAAATATTTTCATCAGAATGAGATCCTTCATAATGATAAAAATTAAGGAGGATTTCTTTAAGTTCTCGATCTTTTGTAATTCAATATGCTGTAATTTCAAGAAATGGAATTTGATTTTTAGAAGTCTAACAATCAAGAGTAAATGAAATTTTACCCAATACTTTTTGTAATTGTTTTTTAATATTTATTTTTTCTTTATTATATGCTTTCACAATATTATTATGTATAGTATCAGCAGAATATATTTTTGCTTCAAAATTAAGTCCTTTTATCATTGTTTGAAAAAATATTTTTTCAACAACAAAAAAGATTGATTATCCATAATTATCCATTTAGTTAAATCATTTAACCAATATTTTTGTATAAATGTCTATTATTATAAATTATTAAATTATTAAATATTATTATTTAAAATAAATATAATTAAATTAATAAAAATAATATATATACTAAAAATCTTTTATATTAACATATTTATCTATTAACCCTTTAACTTTTGAAAATAAATATGAATGTTTCTTTTTAAGATGAGTTTATAATGTTGAAGTTGATTCATCTTTAGCAATTTTATAAATTACACTTAAAAAAAAATCAAATTAATTTTTATATTTTAATTATTATTATTACTAAAAATTTAAATTTTATCTGCAATGATTACAGTGATATTTGTTACTTTCTTTATTGAGAGTATAATTGCTATGAATTATAAATCTCTGTTTTTTTATCCTCATAATTAGATCACTCATCTTGGATACTTTAATTAGGATCCTCTATATCTTTGGGTTCTTCATTTAAAAATTCTTCATCATTATCAAAATATAATTCATTTTATATTTTATTAAAATTATTTATTAATAAAATTATAAAAAAATTAAAAGATAAATTAAAGTGCCAGATAATTTTCTATGATATTTATAATGTTATAATAAGCTAGTAAAGTAACAAAGCAAGTGGTAAAAGCTAATAAAGCCAATTAATTAATTAAGTTATAAGCTAAATGGCTAAATGTGACAAAGTTAAATAGTAAAAAGACCAAGTAAAAGCAAAGATAAATGATATTTTTAATAAATATAAGCTAATTAGTAAAGTCATCAAAGCTAATTAGCAAATTATATGATAAAATTTGATAGGGCCAAGTAGCAAAAAGCTAATTGGCTAAGCAAACAAAATTATGTTGCAAAATTAATTACAAAGCTAAGTGGCTAAGATATCAAAATTAAATAGCAAATTTATATAGCAAAATTTGATAAGGCCAAGTAATAAAAAGTTAAGTGACGAAGTCAGCAAAATTAGGTTGCAAAATTGACTTAAAAAGCCAAGTGACAGAGTTATCAAAGCTAAGTAACAAAATTATTTTGCAAAATTGATAAATCTAAGTAAGTGATAAAGCTAGCTAAGATTAATTAATTGCAAAGTCAAAGAGAAAATAGTTAATATGAATATTCTACTTGAAGAAAATAGTCAAACATTTATTTAACAATTTCACATTTCGCAACTTTTCACAGTAATATTTTTATTGTTAATAATATTTTTTAATCGTTAATTTAAAATGATTAAATTTATCATTCCAAAAGAATGATAAAGAATTGTTTAATTAGAACAATTAAAGTTATCATTCTAAAAAAACAATAAAATAATCATTCATTTGGAATGATTGAAGTTATCATTCTAAACAAATGATAATAAAATCGTTTGATTGAAACGATTAAAATTATCATTCTAACGAATAATAAGAAAATTATTTAATTGTAATAATTAAATTATCATTCTAAATAAATGATAAAAGAATCATTCGATTAGAATGATTAAATTATTATTTCAAATGAATGATAAAAGAATTGTTCATTTAAAATGATTGAATTATCATTCCAAATGAATGATAAAAGAATCGTTCATTTAAAATGATTGAAGTTATCATTCTAAACAAACAATAAGAAAATCATTTGATTAAAATGATTAAATTATCATTTTAATCGAAAAATAAGAAAATCATTCAATTAGAATGATAAAATTATCATTCCAAATGAATGATAAAAAATCATTTAATTAGAACGATTGAAGTTATCATTCTAAAAGAATAATAAAATAATCATTCATTTGAAATGATTGAAGTTATTATTCTAAATAAATGATAAGAAAATTGTTTGATTGTAGTTATCATTCCAAACGAACAATATGAAAATTATTCAATTGTAATAATTAAATTATCATTCTAAAAAAATGATAAAATGATTGTTCAATTAGAACGATTAAATTATCATTCCAAAAAAAATAATAAAAAAATCATTCGATTAGAATGATAAAATTATCATTCTAAAAGAATGATAAAAGATCATTTGATTGAAACAATTAAATTACCATTCCATAAGAATGATAAAAGAATCATTCATTTAGAATAATTAAAGTTATTATTCTAAATGAACAATAAGAAAATTGTTCAATAGAAATGATTAAATTATCATTTTAAAAGAATAATAAAAGGATCTTTCGATTAGAATGATAAAATTATCATTTCAAACAAATGATAAAAGAATCATTCAATTGGAATAATTAAATTATCATTCCAAAAAACAATAAATTTAATTGTTCTAAATGATCTAAAATTTCTGATTAATCTGAAATTTTTAGTTTAGTTCAGATTTTTTTCAGTTCAGATTAGATTTATAATCTGAAAAAATTTTGAACTAAACTGAAAATTTTCGGATTGAATTTTTGCAATCTGAAACTAAACTGAAGTTTATCTAAACTGAAATTTTTCAGATTAATCTGAACTGTTCAAAGCTTTATTGAAGCATCTTTTATGTTATCATTTCTTTATTTGAGGTATTGTAATATACAGTTATTATTTTCTTGCCTGAAGATAATTTGTTGTTTTGCTTGAAAAGGTTTAATGATATCATATTTTAATTTATTTATATACAAAAATATAACATTATTATCAAAATAGTTGTTAATGAAAGCAGTTAATAATAAATATTGTCTAGCTATCTTTATTAGGTTTTAATGTTCATCATTTGTAAGCAGAAAAATTTAAGGGTTATTGTTAAGATTAATATTAAAAGATTTCTTTAATTTGTAATAATATTTATAAAGTGACTTAATATGTCTGTGAATAGAGGAATTAGAATAGGTATATAAGGAATTGTATTGGTGAGTGGTTGTTTATTTAGAAAGATATTTTTTTGCAGAAGTAATAATAGTATGAGAGAAAAATTTCCAGGTGCTATTTAATAAGTTTAAAGAGGTAGCAATTTTTTTTAATAGTATAGTTTGCATAAAGTGAATTTGATTTTAGAAGTAAATCAGCCTTATCTGAGAAAAGATCCCAATGTAAAAATGTAGTTTTATGATATATAAACGTCTGCTTTGTGACTTTGTGTTATTTAAGAGAGGCATTAGAACATTGGTTAAAAAAGTTGTTTTTGAAAATAGTGATAAAATGTGATAAATAATCAGAAGAGTATAAATGATAAATCATTAAGAATATTGAAAAAAGATAGGTTATGTGTAAGGTTAGAGAAGAAAAATATATAATCTAAGTATAAGTAATATGAATTTAAAGTGAATTTAAAAGTGGCTGAGTAAGATGATAAAAAAGGAGTGATGGTGTGAATAAAACCTAGATCAATAATTTGATGAAGATAGTTTGTAAGACTCTTTGATATTTAGAATGATAATTTTTTGAAATATTAATGTTAAAATTTTCTATTAAAATAATATAAAAATTATTTTTATGGCTTTGTATTAAGATGTCTATAAGCTTTTTTTTAAATTTATGTTCTGAAATTAAAGGATTTTTTATCTCTATATATAGCTGATAAGTATACTTGAATAATACGAAGTTTGAATTTCTTTTTGAATTAAAGGTCTATATTTAGTATTTTATAATAAAAGGATTGTTAGTTAAAAATATATTTGTAAAGATCATTTTTAATAATTAGTCCTACTTTTTGATAGTTAAAATTTCTGTTTGAGCTATAAAAGAAAATTTGTACTGTTTGTTATAATTGTTGTTATTGAGAAAATAAGCTTAATTATATGTGAGATAAGTTTCACTAAGTCCTATTATGTCAAAATTTAAATTTGTAAAAAAAGTTTCTATTTATTGTAATTTGTTATTAGCAAAACAATTTTTAATATTATGGGTAATAATGAATAAAAAATTTGGATTATTATATAATGAAAAAAGAGAGGCATTTGTATTAAAATTACTATTATTAGTAGGACACAAAAAAGTCATTTCTATGATGTTATACATTTTATTATTATTAATTATTAGAAAGGGTTAATCATAGGTAAGGCTTGGAATAATGCTAATGAGATAAATTTGAGCTCAGATCTAAGACTTCTAAATTTACTTTCAACCTGTGCAATATGAGGAGTAGCAATTTTATCATTTTGTTATATTCCAGTATTAACAAAATTAGTGTTTTTAACTATTTTAGGAGAATTTGCTACAGGAGGTAGTTTATTATTCATAAGTATATTCTTTGGTGTATGTTGAGTTGGTTTATTAACAATGTTCATTGTTAGTTCTTCTTCATCTTCATCAGGAATCTTAGTAAAAAACTCAAGTCTAAAAAGATTATAATTAATGTCTACTTGATTGCGATGCTATTAGAGGATTTTATTTTTAATAGAAATGATCTTATCAGAAAGAAGTATAAGTTTATTGTCAATATCATCTATTATAGCTATTAAAGAGTAAATAGCATTGACTGTATTAGAAATAATATTAGAACTTCTGTTATTATTTCCTTTAAGGAACGTTAACGTATTATTATTATTTGGTTTAGATTTGATAGCATTGGCATATGGGAGATTATTCTAAAAATTTGAATTAGGATGAGAATGAGAAGGTCTATATTACTCAAGTTTAAAATGATCATAAAAAGGCTTATAAGGATTAGTGGGGTCTCTTTTAGAGCAATTTTTGATTTTATGGTCAGATGATCTACATTTCCTATAATGTATATTAGCAGGATCTATCTAGTATAAAACATTGTCTTTGAATTTGTAGTGTTGAGCAGCTGCAGCGACTAAGTCTTCTATGGTGGCAAAATTAACGAATGCTTAATTCCTTAATCAGTATTATTGATCTTTTGGAATAAAGCATGAATTAGCTTTGATTTAGGTTAAAAATCTTATAAGGAACGTTAATCAGTATTTAATAGTAGGCCAATTAGTTTAAGTTCAAATTGTTATTGTAATATAGTTTGCAGTAGATCAAGATCAGTAGGTTCTACTCTTAAAGTGAATTCTAAAAAGGAAATGGACTAAGTATTATTATAAAATTGTTTGATAGTATTATTGTTTTTGTACACAATGAATGCGATTTGTTAGGATCCCCTGATGATTAAAGAAAAGCGGGTAATTATTCTAAATTTAGCGAAAAAAATTTCATATAACTTTAGATTTAAAAAAGTGAGATGTCTGATACTTGATGGTGCGACCTTTATCTGCATCTAATTTTAGTTATTTGGTATTAGGATCAGCAATCAGAAAGATTGAGTTATATTGTGTTTCCTGCACTTTTGTTATAGCATGTGTAAAGCTTTCTAAACTGTTGAAATAAATGATGAATTTTCTATTTTTAGAAGATAGTTAGATCCTTAGAAATCATTAAAGTGAATAAAAAGTGCATTGATAAAATTACATTTTTCTGCTATTGATTTTCCTTTTATATTTACCATATTATCAATAGCATAAAATCTGGTAGGCATAATAATTATGTTGAATTGTCGATCTTTACATTCTTGTTATTAAAGGTAGACGCTTCAGTTTTATCCATTTCTTCTGATCAAGTTTGTTTATTTTACCTTTAGAAATAGAGAATGTATTTGATGATTTTGATTCATTGTATTATTTGTTTATTTTGCATGCATAGAGTCTTTTTGCAGTTTGAAGAGGAACATTATATACGTTTTCAGTAGAGTTAGATGTTGAATAAACAAACTTATCTATTTCCATGTTAACAGTTTAGTTGTATCTTCTTTATCAGTGTTAGGAAGTGTTTGGTAGTTGTTATCCGTAGTAAGGAAAATATTTTCAATAACTTTGTTGATAATTTTTGGAGAAGAAGATTCCATGTTTTCTGTTATTATTTTTTGTTTTTTATTGTTTGTATAAGGAGTTTCTAATAAAGTTTGTTCGTTCGTATCTATAAGAGTGCTAGTAAATTGCTTGCTAGCATTTTTTTGTTGAGGTTTTATTATTTTTAGGAACGTAAGAAGTATTTTTGATATTAATATTTGCTCTAGTTTCTGGCATGATAGTTGTAGGTGAGAGTTAATATCGATTCTTATCCTGATCCATTCACTCAATCCAGAGATATTTGGATAAAACTGAAAGCAATTATTTTGAGGTTCATCACGGAAGAAATTCAAGCAAGTTGGAATACTGAAACTGAAGCAAAAAGAGCTATCCGAAAAGTAATGATACTAAATACTAATTTCAGCATATGGGAATCTAAAGAAGGTAAGAAATTTGTATGTTAATATGTAAGAAAATGGTTACCCATGAGTGTTCATAATCAATTATTTAAACTGCAAATTTTTGAAATTCTTGAAATTAAACAATCATGTAATTGATCTAAAGGTTATAGAAATGCCAATTCAAGGCAACCAGATACAACCATAAGAGAGCTTCAAAACAATCAAATATTCATCAAATTGGATCACTGGAAGCTAAAATAGCTTTGAAAGTTGATAAGATCTTGAGCTGATCTAAAGTCAATTTTAGAGAAAGTATTTATAAGTAAATTTTGAATTAATTTTCTGGTGATGCTAAGGTTTAGTTACTTAAAGGAGATGAAAAAATTGTCTATTATTATGTAAAAATATGAAGTTACCTATAGAATCAAAATATAAAATTTCAATTATAACCAAACCATAACCAGATCATAATCTAAACTTTATTATAACATATCCTAATCCAATTCTAACTTTAATATATACCAATTTAACTACAATCTAACCCAATTCAATCCAACTACATCCTTGAAACTAACTACCTTAGAGTGATTTTAACTCAAATCAACTCCAATTTCAACTCTAACCCAATCAAACTAAACCTAAATTATCTTTAAAACTATACTATTGTTTGTCGCAAAGCGACCCCAGGGCATCGCCCGGGTAGAATTGCTAGTTCCCTATAATATATTACGCCAGTGGATTCACTAACAAAAAAGTCACGCCACCTCAGATGGGTCGTGCAACCGCCGATCGCTTAATTTAGAAAACAATAAACAAAAATCGCGACGCGATATATAAAACAAACATATCGCAGATCCGGCTAAATATATTTATTTTATTTTATTCTTTCTTTTTATTTTCATTTTTTTAAAAAAAATGAAATGAGGACGAAAACAAAAAAAAAATAGTAAAAAATAATAAGAAAAACTAAATTAAAAAGAAAAAAAACGAAAAGAAAAAAAAAAGAAATAAAAACGAATATAAAACAAAACTAAATGAAAAAAAGAAAAATAAACAAAAGAAACAAAAGAAAAAATATAAAAATACTAAACAAAAGAAAAAAAACTAACGAACGAAATAATTAAATAATTTAAAAAAAAAAAAGAAACAAAATAAAAAGAAAAAACAACGAATGAAAATGAAAATAAATAAAAGTAAAAAAAGAAAGGTAAATAAAAAAAGAAAAAAGATTTATAAAAATGAAAAAATAAAAAAATCAACGAAATGAAAGAATAATATAAAAATAACTAAACGAAAAATAAAGAAAAAAAATAAACAAAATTATAAAGAAAAAAATAAATGAAATTATAAAAAAAAATAAAAAAACATTAAAAATAGAAAACGAAACGATAGAAAAAAGAAAAAAAATTAAAAAAAAAAAAAAATAAAGAACACGGGGTGGAGGAAAACAAAAAAAATATTAATATAAAAATGTTTCGAAAAATAAAATTAAAAAAAATGAAAACAAACGATAAAAAAGAAAAAAACCAAAAAAATAAAATATTAAAAAAACGAAAATAACGAATGAAATTAAAAAATTAAAAATAAATTAAAACATATTAAAAAAGAAATAAATTAAAAAAGAGTGTGGGGGAAGTATTAAAAAAATATATAAAATAAATAAAAATACCGGAGGGAGAAATAAAAAAAAAAGAAATAATTTAAAAAAATATATAAAAATATAAAAAAAATAAAGATGGAAAATAATAAATAAAATTTAAAAAAAAAATAATATTAACGAAATTAAAAAATAAAGAACGGGTGGTAAATAAAAAAAAAATTAAAAAAAAAAATAAAATACCGGGGGGTGGGTATAAAAAAATAAAAAATATATTAAAAAAAGGCTAGGGAACTAAGAAAGATAAAAAAAAATAAAAAGGCCGGAGGGGGAAAGAAAAAAAACTATAAAAAAAATAAAAAAAAAAATAAAGCACTCCGGAGGAGAGAAAAAGTAAAAAAAAAAATTATATATTAAATAAAAATTAAAAATTAAAAAAAAATAATATAAAAAATAAATTAAAAAAAAAATAAAAAGATCAAAAGGGGATATAAAAATAAATAAAAAAAAAATAAAAAAAAAACAAATTTGAACGCGAATATCTCGACATTTACCAGACAAAGACATTAAATTTGATATGCCGATTCGGTAGGTACCGGTCTTTCAAATAAGCTCAAAAACGTCCAAACCCAATAATCAAATCCAGAGATATTTGAGAATAATTGAAAGCAATTATTTTGAGGTTCATCATTAAAGAATTTCAAGCAGATGTAAATACCGAAATTGAAGCAAAAGGAGCTGTCCGAAAAATAATGATACTGAATACTAATTTCAGCAACTGGAAATCTAATAGAAGTGCGTAAACTGTATGTTAATATGTAAGAAAATAGAGTTACTTATAAGTATTCAAAATCAATTATTTAAACTGCAAATTCTTAAAAAACTTGGAATGAAGCAATTATGTGATCTAAAGGTCATAGAATTACTAATTTAAGACAACAAGATACAGCTTTAAGAGAGCTTCAATAAAATCAAATATTCATCAAATTAGATTACTGGAAGCTGAAATAGCTTTGAAAATTGGTAAGATAATGAGCTGATCTAAAGTCAATTTCAAGAAAGTATTTATGAGCAAATTTTGAATTAATTTTCTGGTGATGCTAAGGTTTAATTACCTATAGGAGATGAAAAAATTGTCCATTGTTATGTAAAAATATAAAGTTACCTATAAAGTCTTAAAATGCAAAATTTATATTATAATCAAATTATAACAAGATCATAATCCAAATTATATCTTAACATAATATAAATAAAATATGAATTTAATATAATTCAATCTAATCCAATCCTAACTTAATAAATACCAATTTAACTACAACCCCAACCCAATCCAATTTAATCATATCTCCGCATTCTAATCTGATTTTAACCTAAATTAACTCCAATTTCAACCCAAATCAATTCCAATTTCAACTCTAATCCAACCAAACTAAATTTAAATTATTTTTAAAACTTTACCCTTTTTTGTCGTGAAGCGACCCGGTGCATCGCCCGGGTAGAATTGCTAGTCTTCTATAATGTATTACGCCAGTTCCCTCACTAACAAAACTTACCCATGGATTTTAAATAATCGGTGATCGCTTTCTTATGATTTAACCCTTTAGGTAATAATGGTTTATC